CTGTTACTCTTCGTGGTGGAGCATAGGCCACCCACCAGGTTTTCCCATCAAACTCTGTCCTCGGGAATCCTTTCCAGTTCTGTCCAGTTGCTGTTAATTCTTTTGATGTTTGCTTCCTATTCCCGTCGCAGTATATTCACTGGTCTTCTTATACTTGTAGTGACTCACATTTATCACGAGAACACGACTGGTTTAATAAAAACAATTATTATTATAACCAACTGTACCAGTGTTTGTTTTAATGTGCTTTTGTTTGACTGTGCTAATGACAGCTTATTTTGTGCTTCCATTCTTATTCTTACACTTTGATTGTGACTTCGCGCGAATTCGGTTACATTCTGTAACCAAGCTTGTATCCTGGCACGATCTCGGTATCCTTTCTATACCACGAGATCGCCAGCAAATATATCTCGACTTGGTCCATTAACTGCCTTCTGATATTTGGCTTCTCGGGGATTATATGGATTTATTTGGTTACGTTCAACCCTCGCCTTCTGATTTACTTGGCACGTGTTTCTTGGTAGCGGTGTTCATAGTTAGTCTTGACTCGACACCACGCTACATACTTTTGCCTTCAGGATTCCAAGTTAGTTCCACTCAATTGATTGTTCAACGATGATCGCGATTTTGTCTGTGCACGACCGATCCTTACGGAATCTGGTCTGTTGTCCTCGAAGCTGGTCGTCTTCTGAATATTTCATTTGGTTTTACAGCTTTCTGTTGAAAACTTTTCATGGTACCGTTAGTAGTGTGATGTCTGCGTAGTTCTCACACTGAGATCCCCTTTCTTTGGTATTTTGATGGGATATCCTTCTTTCCAGTCCGTCGGTACTTGTTCTTCCCACCAAATCCTCTTGACTAGAATGTGGAGCATGCTTACAGTTACTTCTAAGTCTGACTTCAGTGCTTCAGTTAGTATACTGTTTTGTCGTACGTCTTTCCCACGCTTCATTTGTCTGATGGCCATGCAAATTTCTTCAATTTTTAGTAGAGCGACATGTGTGAGAAGGTCTGTGTGCTGTTTCGATGTCCATTGGCTTCAGGGGTGCTGGTCTATCCGAGAGTTCTTCAAAGTGTTCTACCCACCTGTTCCTCTATTTATGAATCTCAGTGACTGGCTTACATTCCATGTCTTTGACCTCTCAGGTTTACTATATTTCCCTGCAAGTTTCTTCGTTATGTAATATAGTTTTTTGATATTTCCTTCTGTCGAAGCTTTTTCTACTGTCGCTGCTAGGTCTTCCATGTATTTCTACTTGCCAGTTCTAATGCTCCTGTACACTCTTCCTCAATCCTGTGTATTCAGCATGTGCCTTGACTTTCTCTGCTCGTGTTCGGCTGTTGTTAATTGCTGTCTTCTTGTTTTTCCTTTCTTTCATCTTGTCCAGTGTTTCTGTAGAGGTCCATTCCTTATGATGATACTTCTTGCAACCTAGTACCTCCTGACATGTTGAAGTTAGTGCCTCTTTGATTCTTTTCCAATTGTTCTCCATATTAGTTTGTTGTTTTTCTTTCAGCAGATCTTGTAATGCTTGGAACCTGATTTTGAGAGTTACCTTGAATTCGTTGATTTCTTTAGTGTCTCGAAGGAAGGCTGTACTGAACCTTTGTAGTGATGTTCCCCCAGTTGTCCAGTACTTTTCTAGCTTCAATTCCATCTTGGCTGCCACCAGGTGGTGATCTGAAGTTATGTCATCTCCTCTCCTGGTTCACACGTCTTCCATTAATCTTCTGAATTTTTCAGTGATACAGATATGACCAATCTGATTCTCTGTAGTGTGGTCCGATGAGACCTATGTAGCTTTGTGTATGCGTCTGTGGGGGAACAATTTTGTTGAATGCACATAAATTTGAAAATCTGTCACCATTCTCGTTCCTTTCTCCCTGTCAGTCTATGTCGTCCCATGATATCTTCATATTCAGTGTTGTCCATCCCGACTATGGAGTTTAGGTCTCCAATCATAATGATCAGGTTCTTTTCTGGCCAGTTCACTACGATCGACTGCAGCCTCTCATAGAACTGATCGTTATCGTCGTCATCGCTACCATTGGCGAGTACATAGCACTGAATAACTTTCATTGTAAGTCCCTCCTTTGTTTTGAAGGATCCTTTTATGGTTTTTGATCCATGAAACTCCCATCCTATAAGTACTTTAAGTGCTTCTTTAGACAGCATCAGTGTAAGGGCTAGTGTGTGCGAAATATTTTCTTTTTCACGACCAGAGTATAACAACATATCTCTCGAGTGTAATCTTTTCTGTTCAACTTGGGTCCTATGCAACCGCATGGTTGCATCTCCTTATTTCTGCAGCTATTTGACTAGTCTTCCCAGTCTCCTATATTGTCCGGACATTCCATGTGCCTATAATGATTGTTGCTCTGGTTATCAGAAGGGTCATCGGGCTCGTGACTCCCGAAGAATCTCGGCTTCCAACGTGAGGTATTCCAACCATTCTAAATGACGGCCATTCAATACCCAGAGGAAAGTTTAGTTGGCTACGCGAATAGCCTAGTGATAATGTCTTTGACTGAGGAAATGTGTGGTGCCAGTCCGAAACCTGTTGGCTGGAATTAGCCATTCTACATCAGTAAAAGGTATGTCTAGTATTTAACGACTGAGTAAAACCTGAAATTAGCAAGAAAAGAATGAAAGAAAAAACGAAATTGACGGTAAACACTTTCATGAGAGCTTTACTAGAAATATTATCAAAATAATCCACTGTGTCACTGAAGAAAAGTAAAGAGAACTCAGCATATATTATTTTCTTTCCGAAGGAACATTTACTTAAGCTGTACATTCGTATTTATAGTTGTATAGTAAATATGTCTATAGAAGGATACAACAGATTTCATCACAAAGAGATTCGAAACTACGGATATCAACTGAGGTTGTGAAATAATCAAGGAGCTAAATAAGTAAAAGAATATAAGGATGAAAATAATTTATGGGTCAGAATAATGAAAGATAATTGCCCACTTAACAGATATGAAGGGAAACAAAAAATATAAGGGTCATAATAATAACTGAATGATAATCATAGACATTTTTGAAGGATTATAATAACTGACTACGGTTTAAAATTACAATACACTAATTAAAAAACACACTGAAGCATACTACAGAAGGGAATTAAGGCCAAAGAAGGATGAGAGGTTGAAAGTATCGTTTTTACATGCAGGGTTTGGGCTTGAGTTGGTGGATTGTCAATGCCTCAGCAGTACATAAGTTTTCAATTCAAACTCCCTTCAACCCAGTTCCTTTGGTTGTGTACACTATTTTAGAGGACGACTCCTTCGGAGAAACGTGTCCAGAGTTGATTAGGTGCTCCTGTATTGAACTGGCGTTTGTTTTACATTCTCCTTCTAAAAGCCACTCCGAGTAATGTTCTGAGATTCGTTTGGAAAGTGATCGCTTTGTGCGGCCAGTATAACCTGGCCCACAGGAGCAAGTAAATTTATAGATGCACACTGATATGGCCCAAAGCGAAAGTTTATTCTTAACACATCCGTGAATGGCAGGCCGGCTAAAGTAAACAACACGGAGCTTAGCTGAATAGAACGTTTTATTAAGGGCTTTTGAGGTCCGTTTATTCAAGATTTTAGCAGCCGTATCTCCTGTAAATCCGATATTCATAAAAAGTTCTCATAATTCTGAGCCGTAATTTATTTTCATTCTTATATTCTTCTCTAACCAATTAATAATTCTCAGAGCTAACCACTCTAATAGTTTTGATCGGATTAGAAGTGAAGACAAAACACATCATCATTTTACACAAGCGCCACATAAGGATCTGAAAATCAATGTCACATTAACATTCCAGAATGTTTTGTGGTCGACATATATAAAATCTTTGGTCTTAAAGATCCTATCATCTACTGATATGTTAACCTTCACAGAATTCATGCTTCATTCTTTTTAAAGTCATTCCACATTAAATTACTTATTAATATTAGAATAAAGTGAAGCTCAACTTCTGATGGAATAGATTAAACGCTGCGATTAAGATAATCATAAAATTGTTATCCCCAACAAATTATGAGGTTCATAGCCCATATTTTCAGGCTTGTCTATAAAGTATAAAAATTTCTGTCCTTTTATGTTTGATTGAGTAAATTAGTCTATTCGGGAAAGTTTGAGAGTCAGCAAAACATTATCTGTTTTCTGAAGGAAAGTTGAAGCTATTCTTGCAAAGGTTTTGCGAAAAGACTCAAGTGAGATTTGTTTTTCGGTCTTAGACATTTTCCGAAAACGAAATCAGATTACACGTCTGGATATAAGGAAGGGAGTTCTTAACAGAGTCGATCTTCAGGTAATTGTTTAGCATCGGATATGAAGTGGATAATTATGAAGTCTTTCATGTGGTAGGTGTACTAATAACCTCAAAACTACCCGGCTCTATACAGGTTATTCTTTGAAATTGACCTACGTTACGTATATAATAGAAAAAAATTGATTAGCTGCTGTGAGCAGTAATAACTTCTCACCCCCTACATAATAGTGTCTCCTTACCCATTTACTGACTTTTTCTCAACAAGCTCATTTCGTCCTAACCAAATCGTATGTCAACGTGCTCATTTGTATTTTTTCTATAACCTATTTCTTTTCTTACAAGCTCTAGGTTTTCTCACAAGAATATGCAATAATGTCAAGGACAATTTATCATTCCACGTGGTTGAGATTTATTCTTTTCGACTAGCTGTTTCATTTTCCTTGAATTATAACAGTCTACATTTACCACTACACCTTATTTTTTAACTTAATTATTTATTGTTTATATGTGATAATATGTATTGTTACATAATGAAATCGTTTTCTCCATCAGTTCTTATTGTTCATGCCTTGTTCAGAAAATTATATTTTCATAAATTAATGATAAAAGTAATGCAATCATTCTACAACTGTGATAAACACCAAGTACTCTTGAAATAATTGAGTGTTTTCTAAAATAGATTATATGAAGACTGAAAGTTTATCAATTTTTGGAAGCTGCTATAATCAGTTATTCATTCAAGGATATAGCTTCTTGATTAGGATCACTATAATCGGTTGTAGTAATTGTTATTAAATTTGATGCAACTGGATTTCTCGTAGATAAATTATTTGTACTTTCTTCTTCTTCTTGTATTGTTTCTGGTGCACTGTTTGTTACAGGTTGCGGTGGTAGTCTTTGAGGTTCATTTGCGACCTGTTATAGAATATCAAAGGAGTATAACAAAACAAGGTCCCAGACTTTTTGGGGGCAATTAAGTCAGTAAACATAGTTTAAAAAATGAAAAAATTAGTTCCCCGTCAATTTTAACTGTATTGATATCTCTTTTGTACCTAAAATAAGAGATTTTTAGTCATTTTTGTGAAAACATTCAAGTCAAAGAATAAAAATAAACCTTATTAGTAAGTGTAGTGAAAATCGCTTGAATTTTTATACAGAATTATTTACTTTCGAAGACCGTGCATATTACAATCATCATTTGATATTCTCACAGCTTAAAAATAAAAAAATTGTATGGATTTCAGATACTTCGTCAGCATTGTCTACAAAACTGGAACTATCATGCAATTAGAACCATTAAAAATCTAAAATCAGCACTCAAACGATTAGTTTGAAAATAAAAAAGAGCAGTGATACGAGATTTGGCGGGTATTAAATGTATCAAGAAGGAAGGTTCAAGTTTCGAAAATGTCGAAACTCAGTATGGTAAATATATGGTTTTTGGTAATAAAAGTTACAGTTTTAACATCATATTCCACGTATGAGGAAAAAGCCGAATTTATTAGGTTTGACCTAAATTCGATTGTGAAACAAGATTCATTTTGGATTTATTTAAGTTGGGATACTGAATCGAGTAATAAATGACTAGTAAGCATACTATTTCGATATTACAAACACAGAGTATAGGACAACGCAGACTGCAAAAAGTACAAATCGGTTCAAAGAGTTTAAGTTCTAATACTTAAGTCCTTATTGAATAAAGCATTTGAGAAGTCTTTAATGAGATACTGACAAGCAACATTATCTACAACCATTTTCTTTTCTTCGTTTCTACAGGTGAATACATGGATCCTCGTTCAGCTTCAACACGCATCTTAGTAGCCGGTCTCTGGCTGTTAGTTCTTATTATAATCGCAATGTTTTCGGCTAATTTAGCGGCGAAATTAACCGTCTCCGGTTTACAAGGGGAAATTAATACATTCAAGAAACTAATTGAACCGGCGGCCTGCTTGAATATCTGGGCTACCTGTTCCACCGATCTAGATATTTCATCAAGTTATCTGTTTTGTTGTTTGTTTTAGCACATCACTATGTCTATTGTGCGCACAACCTATTCAGGAGCGTTTATGAAAAGTTTACAACCTTTCGCTATACGGGATACAAAAAGGTACAATCAGAGGCATCATGGTTGCTGGCAATATGCATTGAAACAAATGAACAGTAATCAAATGTGGATTACCGAACTTCTAACATCTAACTGGCCATCATTCAAAATTTATCGTCACAATCGATCAAGGTATAAGAAAAGGAAACTTGTTGAAATACTTTATGCTGAGAATTCTATGTTGTACCAAAAATATAATGTTGAATAAAGCTTCTAATAATAATAATAAATAAAGTAGGACCAAAAATAAATTATATATATATCATCATAATTTATTCTAACAATTACGTATTAAGATGATGGTTGGTATAATTGAAACATACAACCAATCTAAAAAATAAACAGTGATAAGTAGTGATTTGGACATTTCACCATTCTTGATATGCTTTAGCTCTCAATCGTTAAATTAAATATAAGGTACTGAATCATTTGTGATATTCTGACTACATGATTGGTTTGAGATGTGTCAAACGAAACAATAACAAACAAATCTCCAATGTATCGGCTTAAAGTGCTAGCCGTCTTCATCGGCATTCTCTTAAGTTATGAGATCTCCAGAGTACATCTCCTCCTAAACTAGTCCCACTTGAACAATTCCATTAGTGAATAAATCTGTAAAACACAATTGTATGGACGAAGAATATTCTTTTCAATAATTTCTCATCAGGTTCTACAATTATAAATCCAGATTAATAATCCATAAAATTGGCCAGATTTAAGGCAAAATACATCATCATTTGGAAATTGTAATATGTAAATCAGGAATTGTTTGTTATATAAAATAAAATCGTTAATGTTGGGACGACTAATATGAAGTGTTAACTTGAATCAGTTTATAAGTGAAATGAAATTGTGAGATAAATTATCAGAATAAATATGGTCAACATGGGGTAAGAGAGAGAGGGAGAGAGAGAATATTGTGATTACAAATCGGAAATTGCGTAATATGTAAAATAATTAGGTCAAATATAGTAAATTCAGGGGTGGATATTGAATAAATTCCTCAAAAAGGGGTATCAAGTGTAAAGACAATAATAATAATAATAATAACAGTAATAACAATAATAAGTTTGGGACATAAAATGAACATTAATCAGATTACGTCACCACATTTTACCCTGGCCAACTAGCTAATAATCAATCTTAAAATGTGGTGACGTAATCTGATTAATGTTCATTTTATGTCCCAAACTTATTATTATTATTATTATTATTATTATTATTATTATTATTATTATTGTCTTTACACTTGATACCCCTTTTTGAGGAATTTATTCAATATCCACCCCTGAATTTACTATATTTGACCTAATTATTTTACATATTACGCAATTTCCGATTTGTAATCACAATATTCTCTCTCTCCCTCTCTCTCTTACCCCATGTTGACCATATTTATTCTGATAATTTATCTCACAATTTCATTTCACTTATAAACTGATTCAAGTTAACACTTCATATTAGTCGTCCCAACATTAACGATTTTATTTTATATAACAAACAATTCCTGATTTACATATTACAATTTCCAAATGATGATGTATTTTGCCTTAAATCTGGCCAATTTTATGGATTATTAATCTGGATTTATAATTGTAGAACCTGATGAGAAATTATTGAAAAGAATATTCTTCGTTCATAAAATTGTGTTTTTAAATCTGTAAAAGTCATGAGTTTTCGTTGAATTGAGTTGAACAGATGAATCGACCATAGAATAAGTAAATAGAAACATGCAACAAATTTCTCACCTGTGTCTGTTGCTTCTTCAATAGTATATGAAAGGTAACAATTTCTGAGATTAGCAATACAACGCCAATTAAAAGTCCACATCCAAGTAATGAGAACATACCACCAACTTCTTCAAAATCATATCCTTCATCAACAGACAATGTTCCACAGCGACTTGTATTACTAGCCCACCACTTAGCTCTCAGCGTGTCCAGTGTATAATCTGCTTCTAGAGAATAAATTCTAGGGCGAAAAGTAAGCTATGTTTATAGACATAATAAAGTTCATTTTCTTGCAATAAGCGTTGTTGTGAAGTTTGGTTTTTATAGCTGGAGTGACATTCTTTTTTGTAATATATTGTCAGTTTACAAATATTTTTGTTTGCAATCAGGGCTTATAATTTAAGCGTTTTTTATTTTGTAAGCCTTGATTGTCTTAATACTTTTTATTGAATTTCTGTATTACGGTTTTATTCAGTCACAAATGAAACTTATTTTTTCCATCAATGAGTTGTTACTTTGATTGAAACATCCATTTTAAATTGTTGTATGGATATAGACGTTCATTCTTTCTCTTTTTATGAACTAAAACACACAGTCCTAATTACATCTAGCTCCAAACTGTAGTAATTGATTCGAACCTCAAATAATCCACGATATAAATTCAAGATATAGTCAGACTTCAGTGAGGTGATTATGCATACTAAAGCGTTTATAAAGCCTCATAGTAATTATTTCCAAGTGGATTAGTGAACTCAAACGGAATATGTGCTGTATTAAGCATACACTTTGGTATTTAAAGTACAAAGGAAATTTTAGTAATTCTCTACTTAAACAAGATAACAAACCCTATATAGAACAAGTGAATATTAGTTTTCAGTAACTTTCCTCTTAGGCTCTGGATTAACGAGAAAAGACTAATTTTTATGGAAAACGTAGTTGCAAGTGGATATAGATAGGATTATCCGAGTACGGCTTGCGTAAACAACCTAACAAAAGCCAAATATCAATAAATTATCTTTGATTTATTATTTCTGTACTAAACTGATTGAAAAGCTAACATACAGCTTGACTACACTGAGAGTCCTTCTATGATGCTAATTAGTCAAAGAATCAAGATATTTCTAGCTGCCATTTTCGTTTCCATCACTTTAAATAATCAAGTTTGATTCTGTGAATGAAAAGTTTATATTTCTTTTATGACGAAGTGTGAAGTGATGGAAATAATTGTGTTGCTCATTTAACTTTTTTTTCTTAATACGTTCATTTTTATAAAACCACCAGTACTTCCAGAGAAGAGAAAGCAAAGAAATGATATTGTGCATGTTCTTTAATGTAAGTGAATTCGTTAGCTTGGTCATAGTTTATGATATGGTAATCATACAGGCAGCAGCATTTCAGCTTATTAAATGTGTCGTATAGCTGTCAATATTTTCTGTAAAATAAAGGTTGCCAATTTCAATGTGACATCAATTTGATTACGTTTCAACTAAAAGAATGATAAGATTGCCAATTACCTAAACGATTATTATCTTTATCTTGATTTTATTTAGGTAATTTATCGGAAAACTTACATTTCATTAAAAGCAGAAGTTAACGGAGAACGCGGTATTAATATCATACTATAATACCAACTTCCTATACGGTTATCGAATCGTTTCAGTTTGCATTCGTTGGCTATGTAATAAGCAGCCCTTGGAGTTTCCATAAATATTACCCAACCGTCGTTGATAAGTTTAATCGTTTCTTCATGGCTATTTGAAAAGCCCCATTCACGCATTCTACTGTAAATTATTCCATATTTCTCAGTGACTGGATATTGCCAAACTGTATAATTTGCTGTGAATTCATCTGAAGAGCAAAACATGAATAAGTTTACTATTGAATAATGGAAGGATTTAAACACGTTTGTTTAAATTCACCTTTTATGCCGAATCAATAAAGCATATGTTTAAACTGTCATCACTTTTGGTTCGGAGAATAGCCACTATGTTTATTAAAGAATTGGAGCTAATCACTTTCCCAAAAACTTATCAGCATACTATGGTTATATTATGGAGACCGATTCGATTAAGAATGGGTCTTTAATTGCTAAAATGAGCGACTAGAATCCTTGTCAATGGATGAATATAATGACATGATATGACTGAGTGATGGTAGTCTGCTGTTGAGATAAACATTCAAAAATATATAATCTTATAGGTTGATTTTATTAGTAAGTTGTAAGAAAACTTGGCCGACAAAGCCTTCAGTTTCACAGTTCTAATATTGTTTGTTGACTGATGGGATATAGTAAACCATTATTCGATGACCAGTTATTACAGAATCTCACGGTGTATGATGTTTTTCAGAGTGTTATCAGTCCATGATAAACACGTTTATTGTCAGGAAGATCTAGGTGACCATGATTATATTCTTGAAAATTAGTGGGTCTGTGTCCCATCATACTACATGATATAAAGATTAAAGTTTTCGAAAGTATGAAAAAACACATTGCATTTTATATGTATAGTAAGTGAAGGTATTTTCATCATGCTAAAATTATCGTCATCAAAATCTCTAGAGCTAATAATCAGTTCATGAGGACAGCTCTAATCTTAAGATTGACTTTGAGAACCTATAAATTTAAGACACAGAGAATTCAGAAGATTGATTGAACCTTTAGATCTTTATATTGAAATTCCGTTCTTTTTGAATACAGAATGACTAAGTATTAGTAGGTAAATTAATTATATTAAATAATTTTCTGAATAACACTTTCATTATAAGTCCGTATCTTCTAGATAGTCTTGTTTTTTATCTGCCTGATTTCATTTTCCACTCATTAAACAAAAGTTGTCGGAGGGATTGCGAAATTACGGCTCGACGATTTCAGTGTGATCCAATTCATCAGCCAAACAGAAAAGTAATGTCTGTTTAAATCAAACGTCAATTAATGAGAGTGACTAAAGGTAGTGGAAACCCAGTCCATTGTAATAATAATACTATAACAACAGACCATCGATGTGGAGGAGTGAATATTAAAAAAATGTAACTTTTGGGATCAAACTACAGGTTATTATCGTTTATCTGTTTATTGTATAACTATCAGATAATTATATTATTGCATTAGTAGATTCTCCTTACTTCACATTTCCAGTGGACCCATTAATCATTACTATATGTTTTACCATACCTTAATTATGATAAATTAATCATTAACCTTTTTCATATGTTATCTTTCACTTTAGGCGTATTTCATGGGCGGTCAGGAAATCAATATATTTCATAGTATGAGTTGATTCTTGTAAGATATGCTACTGTACCACTACTTGCTGTGTTATACAATCAGATTGAAGACTGGGCTAGAAGATGGCCATAAATTCTGGAATAAAAGGAATTACAATTATTTTCAGCTTTAACTCAAGGTTAACCCTGTCTGTCGAAGATTAAGACCCGAGCAATAGCCTAAACAGTATACGCAGGGTAAAAAGTATTGCGGTGTGTGCTTTTGATGTTGATAGATATAAGTGGTATGTATCACCAATATTAAGTGAAATGCGTGGCGGTAGAAAGTTAAGAAGATCGAAGAAAAGAGAACGAGAAAATAGAATGATTGGTGTGGAAACGAAGAAACAATGACGCCTGAGACGATTGATTGACGTTTTGCAAATGAAGTATTTACTGTATGGTTCTCAGATTCTACTAAGATGTTCTGTACTTCTGTGTTCAAATATGTTCGATTGTCCCCACCTGTCTTCTCATTCATCACAGTATTATAAGATTTTTATTCGCAAGTCGATCAAAGTACATTAATGACGAGCATTTTCAAGAACATATGTATAAATATATATTACGGCATTTAAGTCTCTTGAATTCACAGGATAGTAATAAAGAATACTAGGTAATGGGAATGAAGTTGAAATTTTATTTTCACTTCATTTTTACGGTTGAAGTAAGGTAGTTGTTGGTTAGAACAACTTGCAAATTTAGGGGTTCTATCAACACCAGTCACTACAGATTCAGTTCATAAATTCTAATTTCTCAGATTTTCAAAATTGCACGTTAACAGTGTTGGGCTAGAAATTCAAAGGAGCTCACTGTTATAAACAACTTTTTGTTTCCATATTTCAAAAATTGATTCTTCAGCACTTTTCAACTTCTCAAAGAACTTCAATTCTGATGAGTTGCTTCGAACTGTATACTGAAAAGGTATAATAGTGGAGAAAAAGTGTGTAAATTGTGATGAATTAACAGGATTCAGAAATATTACTGTCTCATTATCTTACATATTCGTAAACAAGTAATTCAAACACATCCAGTCAGTGATCAATATCTTAAAGATATGTCATAGAATTACTGTTAATGAACGATTTGACACGTTTTATTGTAACTTCATTTTAAATGAACACGGTTTCAGTCATTGAGGGAGGTATTTTATTTAGAGAGTTGATATTTTTACCATCAGTCGGTGATGGAAGTAACAAGTTTAAAAGCCAGACTATCTTCCAAATTCACTTTTATTCGTTTCGATCTCAATCAACAATAGAAGCATATTATTCAATTTTTGCTGATTGCTTCAGTTAATAAATACATTATTATCACTACTAATCACTCGTATTTGCATAATGTTTTGATCCGAGTGGTACTGAAAAATCAATGATGGAATTTCGCTAAAGTCATAATACAAATGTATAAACCCAAACTGAACAGGTTAAACTTAGCATTCCATTTCACACATGAGGAAGTACAAGAATGAACCATGTGCTGATCGTAGATACATCACGTGATAAGTATCTAACATGAAAACAGAAGCGAAGTCTAGTTTCAACTTGTAGAAGACTTGGCTTGGAAGGTCAATCTAGAAGACTCAGAATGGCTAACCAGGATACCATAGGTAAGAATAACATCATGACTAAATTTTTTTAACCTGTATCATTATTTTGTTAAACGAAATTCGGTTTGCAAAACAAATACGAAGATATAAATAGATAATATGCTGCATATCAGTAATTTCATAAATAAATTGTCAATAAGTCATTAAAAGGGGATATCGGGAAAGATAGACAATAAAAACGCTGATACTATTTGATGATATTTAGAAATGTAAACAACAACTGAATTGCAAAATCATCTCGATTTTTCGATTTGATGATAAGCATCGCAAACCATCAACCGTTGATGAACCATAACAAGTTGGGAGAGACTAGATAGTAATTTTATTTTACTATAGACTATTTGTTAATACTCACAGAACACTGTCCGATTAAAAAAATGATATTGGGTTTTGGAGCCTTACTTCAGACGATATAAGATTACAAAGCAATCTATCCATGAACTGAAAACATCTTCATAGTACACATAAGCAAATGAATATATGGGCATACTGTTGCCTAACTAAATGGTTGGTAATCAATACAAGTCGCTGTGGAACATTGTCTGTTGATGAAGGATATGATTTTGAAGAAGTTGGTGGTATGTTCTCATTACTTGGATGTGGACTTTTAATTGGCGTTGTATTGCTAATCTCAGAAATTGTTACCTTTCATATACTATTGAAGAAGCAACAGACACAGGTGAGAAATTTGTTGCATGTTTCTATTTACTTATTCTATGGTCGATTCATCTGTTCAACTCAATTCAACGAAAACTCATGACTTTTACAGATTTAAAAACACAATTTTATGAACGAAGAATATTCTTTTCAATAATTTCTCATCAGGTTCTACAATTATAAATCCAGATTAATAATCCATAAAATTGGCCAGATTTAAGGCAAAATACATCATCATTTGGAAATTGTAATATGTAAATCAGGAATTGTTTGTTATATAAAATAAAATCGTTAATGTTGGGACGACTAATATGAAGTGTTAACTTGAATCAGTTTATAAGTGAAATGAAATTGTGAGATAAATAATGATCAGAATAAATATGGTCAACATGGGGTAAGAGAGAGAGGGAGAGAGAGAATATTGTGATTACAAATCGGAAATTGCGTAATATGTAAAATAATTAGGTCAAATATAGTAAATTCAGGGGTGGATATTGAATAAATTCCTCAAAAAGGGGTATCAAGTGTAAAGACAATAATAATAATAACAATAATAATAATAATAATAATAATAATAATAATAACAGTAATAACAATAATAAGTTTGGGACATAAAATGAACATTAATCAGATTACGTCACCACATTTTAAGATTGATTATTAGCTAGTTGGCCAGGGTAAAATGTGGTGACGTAATCTGATTAATGTTCATTTTATGTCCCAAACTTATTATTGTTATTACTGTTATTATTATTATTATTATTATTATTATTATTATTATTATTATTATTATTATTATTGTCTTTACACTTGATACCCCTTTTTGAGGAATTTATTCAATATCCACCCCTGAATTTACTATATTTGACCTAATTATTTTACATATTACGCAATTTCCGATTTGTAATCACAATATTCTCTCTCTCCCTCTCTCTCTTACCCCATGTTGACCATATTTATTCTGATAATTTATCTCACAATTTCATTTCACTTATAAACTGATTCAAGTTAACACTTCATATTAGTCGTCCCAACATTAACGATTTTATTTTATATAACAAACAATTCCTGATTTACATATTACAATTTCCAAATGATGATGTATTTTGCCTTAAATCTGGCCAATTTTATGGATTATTAATCTGGATTTATAATTGTAGAACCTGATGAGAAATTATTGAAAAGAATATTCTTCGTCCATACAATTGTGTTTTACAGATTTATTCACTAATGGAATTGTTCAAGTGGGACTAGTTTAGGAGGAGATGTACTCTGGAGATCTCATAACTTAAGAGAATGCCGATGAAGACGGCTAGCACTTTAAGCCGATACATTGGAGATTTGTTTGTTATTGTTTCGTTTGACACATCTCAAACCAATCATGTAGTCAGAATATCACAAATGATTCAGTACCTTATATTTAATTTAACGATTGAGAGCTAAAGCATATCAAGAATGGTGAAATGTCCAAATCACTACTTATCACTGTTTATTTTTTAGATTGGTTGTATGTTTCAATTATACCAACCATCATCTTAATACGTAATTGTTAGAATAAATTATGATGATATATATATAATTTATTTTTGGTCCTACTTTGACTTCTTTTTGTTCAATTAGTTTCTTGAATGTATTAATTTCCTTTTGTAAACCGGTGACGGTTAATTTCGCCGCTAAATTAGCCGAAAACATTGCGATTATAATAAGAACTAACAGCCAGAGACCGGCTACTAAGATGCGTGTTGAAGCTGAACGAGGATCCATGTATTCACCTGTAGAAACGAAGAAAAGAAAATGGTTGTAGATAATGTTGTTTGTTACTATCCCATTACGGACGATTGTGTTTGATGATTTGTTTAACTTTTAATTATTAATTATATTTTTTGTACTGATTCGACTGCACTAAGAAAATGTAATCTTCCATCATACTTAGTTTCTTTGGTGTTCAATGCGTTATTAATCATGCGAACTGACCTCCCTTTTAGTACTCTTATATTTTCCGGTTTGACTGTCAAATGAATGAAATACAAAGATTTGAGAATAGTCTGGTTCTACGCAAATAATTTATTTTATTTGTTCTGTTTATTTATTATCTGTTTCACTTAGTGAAATTATTATCATTTTATATATTTTGACTATAATAACTATCATATTTAATGACTAATATTTGAACGAATAATATTCTTTTCGATAAATTCGCTTCAGGTTCTACAATTATTTATCCAAATTAATAAATTGGGTTAGTATTTTTTTGCCAAAGCCTGTCAGACTCAAAGTCCTTCAAACGGTTTAAGTAGTAGCCATCCGCATTAAGAAACTGGAGCTATGTTTACAAAAGAAATATCTTCAACCGTCTCTCCTCCCCTGGCCAACCTCAAGGCCAATTAATTAGCATTAATCTTAGCTATTGAATGACCTAATTTGGCTGTTGTACTTACGACCTTTCGTAGTTAAATGTAATTGTCTTTGTTATCTTTATTTATAAATCTTCGCATTCTTATAATAATAATAATAATAATAATAATAATAATAATAATAATAATAATAATAATAATAATAATAATATTATTATTTATAATTATTATTATTATTATTATTATTATTATTGATTAAACATCATTATTAATCTTCCCAGTATATAATTCATTCACAATATAGTCTTCCACTGAACATTTGATCAAATTGTAATTTCACTGTTATTTCTCCCACCTTGCCTAACCCATATTTATTCTGATCATGAATCTTAAATTTTCAATTAACCTATAAGCTGATTCAAGTTAACATTCCATATGAGTCATATCAACATTAACAATTCTATTCTATTTCGTTTGACAATCCTAAATTCTATAGTTGAATTCATAAGTCAGTTGGGGCTAGAAAACCATGGAAAACCTAGAAGTACTGGACGGCTGTTTCGTCCTAGCATGGGACTCCTCAGTAGTGCTCATCCACGATCCCACCCCGCAGGATTCGAACCCGGTACCTATCAGTCTCGTGCACGAATACTTAGACTCTAGACCACTGAGCCGGCATCGAACGGTGATAACAATCCTAAATTCACATGCTTTAACTTTTAGCGATGTACTTTGCCCTCAACTTGGTCATTTTTCGGATTAATAATTTGGATATATAATTGTAGAACCTGAACAGAATTTATCGAAAAGAATATTCTTCTTTAAAATATTATTTTTATAATAATAGTAATAATGTTGTTTGTTTGAGGAAAGTTTACAACAATCACAATGCACAGTTATTTATATTAACCAGGACACTTAAATTCCGCATTAATTGTTTAACATTAGTTAGAATAGTCATGAGTTACTTGTTTAAGTAAATACTCCACTTCTTCTCTTTATACATGTTGATGTGGTCCAGATTATTCTTGTGGACACGTTTCTTTCATCTAGAGTATCATGAACTTTGGGTATTTGTCTAATCACGTTTTGGAGACAGTCGTGTTCTAGAAATCTTCTTTCAAGTAAGATATATGAAATGATGCGGATATTTTTGCTTCAGTAGGCTGACGCCTTGAAGTTTACTTGTTTCATGCATGTACAGTTCATAACATTATGCATCACATAAGTTTTTATCATAAATTGTACTACTACTGTTGGGCTTATCTGTTTGTAGAACAAGTTGCAGAATTCACTTTTAATTTTGATTACGCTTCAAGAGATGGATGTAGCTAGGTATGTGACTCAAAGTTGTATAATTCGTTTGTTTTTACATTTAACTACTTTTTATGAATAAAGCGTTTTTAGCATAATTATCCTAAAGCAACAGTTTCACCACTTATGACCATAAACCATATCAAGATAAACGATCAAAAAGTCGTAGACATATAGAACTATATTTCAAGGAAATCTTAATTAGAGAATTTAACTTTCCTGGCTTTGGATTGACAGTGTGTTTCTTTTGTTATTAGTAGCATTATTACCTATATATTTACAGTATATTGTTAAGACTATTCTACTAGTGTTCATCTCTAATGTTAAGTTTAGCAAAAACAACATATCTTTATCTGAATCTTTGTTCTGGAGACATGTGAATAAGGTTTTTTCTTTTAAAACTTCTCAATGAGTGTCTCATATGTGGATCAAAACTTAAATCAAGTAAATGACTACGAAATTACCAAACGAATACCTTCAAATGAATTATTTTTCTAACACTTGCCTCTAACCATTATATTGGATCCCAGTACGATGTTATGTTCTAAAATGGTGAAAAATACTTTCAAGAAATTCTATGCAGACGTAAACTTCTAGAAGTATTTAGACTAGTATGAAGACCAGAAAGAGCATTTAATTAGTTCGAATATTAAGAAGCTGTATTGCAGAAATAAGATTCCATCAAAAACCTAATCAATATACCTACAATCCCCTAACTTTATATCTCGATGCGATGAACTTGAAAATATTGTTATAATTGTGTTTCAGTTGTAATTTTTCAGATAAAAAATTCAATGACTTCTTATGAAAAAGACAAAACTTTGATCACTTTACCTTGTTGAGTGCAGGAACCTAATACATACCAGAGAGATTCTTTTACAGTAAATACTGTGCCCATAGATTCACTATCACCTTTTTTAGGTTGATTTTGATAACTATACGGTGAATATTTGTCAATGAATGCCAGCAGAAAACCGATAATAAATACAGCTACGACAGCTGTTACCCACACATCCCTATTAAAAGTAAATTTGTTTAATTGGAAGAATGAGAACTTTTGTTGAAAATTTCGGAGTTTAATTTGAAAAATTTAGTTAATTTGGAAACTCATGACAACAAAGATCAATTATTCATATGATAATGGAAATGATGAGAAAGAATGCAATTAAATTTATCACTATACCTACTTGTCATTGATTGAATTACTATTCATGCACTCGACGTTATGAAGCTGGATAATTATTGAAAGCATTAGAAAGTTGTTATGTACTAGCTTAAGACTACTTTGTGGTGCACATATGCATTCCCACACGAGACCAAATCCAGGACCCTTCAGCCTCGTGGCAAAGACGGTACCATTTAACTATTGAGTTATGATAGATTGGTAATAACTTTCAAATTCAATTATTGGGATATAGCGCGATATTCATTCAATTTTTCGTAGGATACCTGCTTCAGTAATGTGACCGGAAAATATATTTCATCGACTGAGTAGAACTACAGCATGCCTCTCATATGATATATATTTATTTAGAAACCTGTCACAAGTTGAAAAGTAGTTTTGCTCTGTAAAGCATAGTTTAAACAGTACAGACTTTCATACTTATGACTACGAATGTGACAAAAAGACACATTCAATAAATTATGTTAACTTAAAGGCATCATTCGCAACTATTGATCAAGGAACAGATGAAAGAATAATTTTTTAAAAGAAGTTTCAAGGTTGGAAATATAATATGAAACAGTGAAAGAAGTATATATTGATAACCAACGTCTCTAAGTCAATATATTAATTCCATTACAGTATATATGAAATAGTTAGGGATGTTAAATCCTCATATACAACATTCGCAAGAAGTCAGCTTTGAAATTCACGTATTCATTTTAGGAGGATTTCGTCCGTTAACTTTCATTATTAATTAATTTGAACTGATTTTTAGCGAACAATGTTCACTTCAAATGAATTTGTGAATTTTGAAATTGATTACTTACGAATGTTTTATTTGGATGCTTACGTTTTGTCCATAGAACTAGGATCATTCATTTTAACATTTTAACTAAAGAATTTAACTCCACATGAAACTCAGTCAGTAGAAATAAATACCTCTTTAAGCTCCTGAGTTCAATGAAACTAGTAGCAGATTTTAGGATATCGTTGTTCTTAAAATTAAATTTTAGAAGTGACATTGTTTGGTTATGTGAAGCTCAGTTTTACGTAAAATATTGATGGCGATAAATCTAACTTGAAGAACGTCAGTTTGTCCGAAAAAATGATCAATTTGTTTTGGCAAAGTTAGCTAACATGTCTTCTAACCTTTATGAACATCCTTCAGTTACCGTAAACAAACGTTTTGCTCCGACTGATCAACTAAAGGTTCAAAAAGCATTTCAAAATATCCCTTGAATAGCTATTAACTGTTAGAGGCGTGTGGGCAGTTTCTACTTCCAAGTTGCCCACACCGTAAACAAATATTTGCTCTTGAGGTACCCACAAACAAACCTACATCACTGGTGGTCTAGCGACCTGTAAATGTGACCTCAGAGCTCAAGGGACAGCTGTTTGAGACCAGCCACACATGGCTTTTATGTGAGATTGTGGTGTGTTAGCTCCATAATTTAAGGAGTTTACCATCAGTAACGGAATTCCATGAGAAAAGGTGATAATTTTTTAAATAACCTTTTTCAACTACATCCTTCCCTTAAAAGAAGGCAGCGCGACCATATTGCTGAGGGAAGCCCTGTGGTGCCGTCTCGCCTTTTTATAGTCAGGAGGGCCTTAAGCTTCTTCTTTCAGTGTTACTGTTCACCGAACGGCTACTATGAATTGTCATGATACAGGGTTGGAATATAAATAGTTTATTTATTACCTCACTAGGTTGAAAGCTCATTTATTTCAGCCATGAACTCTGACTTCCGTTTCAGAGGGTCTTCATAATCGTTGATATTACAGCCTAAATTATTGTTTGAGGCCTTTTGTAGAGCTAAGAATTACTAGTAATTGTAGGTAGATGTAAGGTGATTGGTATTAGAACTGATTTATCAGTCACTATTGTCATCACTACAACGCTATCTGTCATTTTTAATTCTTACAGTTCGAGCATTTAGATTATTGAATCGTTTTTGACAATAATCATGTCAACATAAGCTATTCCATGTGTAACGTCTAATACTCCAATAAGATTACAGAGTTTATATCAAGAAAGACTGTACTCTGTCGAATCAGAAGAATAAACTTGAACTAGAAATCGATTTGGCCATCCATTAGTTCACGGTTATTTTATTTACATTTAATCCATATGACGATACTAGAGAGACAAAAAAGCATACCAGATCGTTATTCATTACTCCATACTCAACTTTACATCTTCAATCAATTGCATAACTTTCCTCGCCAAACGTGATCTAGCGCATGAATATAAACAAATATAATTAAATTTAGATGATATCTAAAATGCAGCTTCTTTCGTTGGTTTCGAATGACTATTAATGCCTTTCAAGTTATCTAACTTAATCAAACGTTCCAAAGCTTTTTCATCATGTTACTTATGTTTTAGATTTTGCCTAGACCTATGTAGACTATATTATGGTGGTTTACTTTTTCTCGAGCAAACTTGGAAAAGATTTAAAGCTTCTTTTAGAAAATTATAGAACTGGAAGTGTGATTTAATATCAGACTGATGTTGGTTTACTGAGAAAACGATTATTTCGGGTAAATTCTTCTCTGATGGTTTTTAGTTACAATTTCGTGAATAACGTGTTGTCGAATGCAAGATATTGCTTTTAAAAATATGTTCCATCAGATTCATCTCTCAGGAGGAATTTACTTCTAGATGTTTGTTTTGAAGATGATTGGATCATTTGATCTATGTAGTTGACCAAATCAAGAGTGAAGATGGTTAACAAATGACTGAAGTCTGGAATTTTAAAAAATTGAAATTCATCCAGGAGGTTAAATGGTTATGTGCTTGGTTATTCGGTTCTGTCGAGATGTTCTGTTGACTTTTAAACTCGGACAAAATTTCATCCACCTCTGCATATGATCCGATTTTATTTTACTTTATGGTTGTTATTTTTCTTCAGTTAAACATATCTTGTAGGCACAGAAAAGAATTCAATGTATGAAGAAAGTGAAGTTGTACTTATTATTTAGAAAGTTTTATCTACGAGCGGTGATCATATTCCGACCCCATTTTTTCCAACTTTAACAGATTTAATAATTATCCTATTATCAGTTTAGGGGTTGTGGAGATTGTTAAGTTTTTGATTGAGATCATGAACCGATAGATGTTAGACCACCATCGAATACCTGGAAGCACTGGACGGCCGTTTCGTCCAATTGTGGGACTCCTCAGCAGTGCGCATCCACGATCCCGCTCGCGGGATTTGAACCCAGGGCCATCACTCTCGCGATCGAGATCGTGGATGCGCACTGCTGAGAAGTCCCACAATTGGACGAAACGGCCGTCCAGTGCTTCCAGGTATTCGATGGTGGTCTAACATCTATCGGTTCATGATCTCAATCAAAAATTATCCTATTCTTTACTTGGTCAAAAAGTTTATAAAGGTTTCATGCATATAATATTTTTAAATCCTTCGTTACTTACCACGTGAATACATCAAGGAAAAACAACGCACCAAGTTTAAGATCTTCATTTATTTTACTGACCATTGTGATGCCAACAGATTCGTAATAAGGTACTGTAAAATCAACAATCAAAGATTTTTCTGCATCCTGAATCAATGGCCCCAAGCCAATGTCAGTATTCTGTATTTTTAGGATGAAACAAGACATAAGTAACTGAATAAAGGTTGTGGTATTTTGGACGCTTTGAAAAGTTACCTAGTTATGTAGCAGCATATAGCGAAAATGCGTTTGGTGTTACCTCTAATAAGAGATATTGTTGGCCGTTGAACCTGGGTGATTAAATCGAAATCGGTACAGATGCCTGTGGCGCACTCGTCTTCAGGAGAGACTCAACGTTTGTACATAGGTAATGACAGAAAAAAATGTTACAGTATTTTATCCAGGTATGATCCAAGTAAGAAAGGGTATAGATTCTTTCTGACTTCTTAGATTATTGAAAACAGAGCAGGAACGTAAAGTCTTTAGCAAATAACCGCTTCTAGATTTTCGATCAAACCGTTTGTCGAAAACTAGCCTATAAACCGTATAAGTGTATTGTGAATTTTACTGTTAAAAAGGTAATCCGGGGAGCTTTGAAAAATTTAGGCCCGCAAAACTTTGTGGACAATATCTGATAAGATTAGGCCATACTTGTAGATTTTTAAAACGGTCGCTCTCTTTTTAATGCATTGTTTTGAAAGTTTTGATCCAATCATTGATTCCCTCTAGATTTTTTTAAAATCTTACATGTGTTTCACTGAAACCATAAGGTAACCAGAATGTTTGTATTATTTATTTATTTTCTTATACTGCATGGTTGAGTATTAATAATTAAGGTAAAGAGTATTTTCGTTAATTCATTGGCTGTACTTAAAAGCAGACCAATCAGCGATTATTATTTTAAATTGTCGACTTTTGAAACAAACGCATTTTGCATTGAAATTATGAACCGATCAAAGTTAAAGCATCATTGAAAACCTGGAAGCCCTGAGCAGCCATCTGGTCCTAGTACTAGACTACTCAGCGGTGGCCATACACAGTTCCGCACGCAGAGCCTTAAGTCTCGCATGTGAATTCCTAACTTTTATACCATTGGGACGGCATTCAGCGGTGTTAGTGTCAAGAGGTGACACCAAACAGGTAGGACCGATTAGTTGAAGAGTCAAAACACGAGGGCAACATCAGTCTGGAGTTTTCTGGTTTGCAATCGGTCTCCAGCTAGGTGAATAATCAAAATAACTTAGAGTTCGAAATTATGAGTAAGTAAGTAATTTTAGTCAATGTGTGTTAAAATGAAAACGTTACACAAATTCAATTTTATGAAAACCAAACGGTATGCAATTATTTGATACTATCTATTAACTGATCTTACTTTTCTAGAAACCTGTCCAATCATCCCTGACCAACGACCGTTCTCAAGTCTGGTGCCATAATCACCATCAGTTTGTTCTACGAATTCGTAATCAATATTTAGTCGTCTAGCGATTTCCTCAAACACCTCTACACAGTATCCTGTCCATTTATTCCGACCTAAACGTACTGCATACGGTGGGTCCTACAGAATTTAAGAATTATAATATGAACTAGAAATGGATTTCAGCAACTGATCGATTGTGAAAACTGAGTATATAGCATTCATCAACAGTCATATTAAAGCACTCCGTTGACTACTTTGTTAGGTTAACATCTGATCACATGACTGACCAACCTTCTTTTGTCAAAACTGGTGAACTGAATCTAACGTTGATATTTATATTGGTTGCGAGTTGTACTAAATGTCTTGCTCGAAGGAATTTCCCAGAATTCTTAGAGGATTTCAATCCGGAAGTCTGGGATTTTACTAGCCGAATTCATTTCCATAGTCATCTGTGGGGATTGATATACATGACAGTAATGCAGTGTCTTCTAACTGCCAATCTATGTTCATCTATGTGTAGATGACGGGGATATCCATTTTGTTTGATGCGGTTGTAAACACAATAGATCTAACGTTTTTGTAGGTGATGTTAAATTTATCCTCTTTGACGTCCTTCAGTTTGCATTTAGTAAGATTAGGCAGTTGATTTTGTGGGTAACATTAATTCGTAAGAGTTTCACATACTTATGAAGTGATTGATCAAACTATGTTCATACATTGTAGGACGATCTATTTTCTGGTCTTTTGGATGATTTTATGATCATAGTGACAATGGAATATTATCGAAAATTTAAGTGAATTCCGAGTATACCATTTTTGTGATGTAATATCGCATACAGACGGACACTGGAGAATCGGTCGTGAAATTGTGCTACGATGACTGAAGCTGATTTGTCGCTTCACTTAACTTTAAATTTCCACGAATAGCTTCTCAGTAGTTGAGGGCAGAGTTAATGGGAGACGTCGAAATGGAAATTATATTTGCGAAAATCTCCGTGACTGAAACTAGCTAACCCAAACAACTCTCGGCATTCTGATCGGAAAGGCAGGTCAATTTCAGTTCGAAGATTCAAACAACCAATAAGAAAGTGGAGTTGAATTCAGAACAGTGCACAAGCTAGTGGCTGTCTGAACTCAGTAGTTGAGTAGACAACTCGATGATGTTTGAAGTAAACAGTACTGGATTCGAGTACTGTAGTGAATATCAATTCTGGGATACATGTACATCCAACTGACTAGTCCCAAATAGGCATAAACACCCGTCCTGGGTTCAGCCACTAGCCACCATCCAAAATAGTTAATCGTATTTAAAAAATGTCGATGTAATGAAATTTATAGTTATACATAAGATGAGAAATGAAATTTTTTAGACTTACATGTATGACACTAACATGTATTTTCTGGCGCCTGTCTGATTCAAGCATGCTCTGATTATAGGTGACTTTATTCTGTGGATAAATAAAAGTTGAATTCTACAAAAGAATTTAGTAAACCATGGAAGACTTTGTATCATTATTCGTCTGTTTTAGTAATTATCTTAAAATAATTAAATTACAGAAATCGACTGGGTTGGTAAAGCATTTTAATTGAGTATTATTCTTCATCTCTTGACACTACATTTATCAGTATCTCAGAGCAGGTGGTGGATAAGTTTAAAATGGATAATATATTAGGATACATGGATGAAAAGGAGTAGAAAGTGAAGTTACAAAAAATCAATTTGATGCATAGCAGGTTACGTCTTAGCAAAGTTACTTAGTTCATCTATGCGTACCATTGTGTCTATTTGTTTGACTCAATTTGGTACAGATGTTGACAACTTTCAGTCATATTGCTGCTATTGTTGATTTTCTTTAAACATGTACGTGATCATTCTCACTTTTTATTGTCTTTAAAGGCTTGAAATTTGAACTTTACATGAAACCGAAAAGAATAACAGTTTGGTCTGTTTTTGTTCGTAAACAGATTCAGTTTACATTGTTTGGAAATGAATGAAGGGCAACATTTAAATTAAACCTCAAGTCTGATAAGTAGATATAGATGGTGGCTAGTAGTCGAACCCAGGACGGGTGTTTATGCCTATTTGGGACTAGTCAGTTGGATGTACATGTATCCCAGAATTGATATTCACTACAGTACTCGAATCCAGTACTGTTTACTTCAAACATCATCGAGTTGTCTACTTAACTACTGAGTTCAGACAGCTACTAGCTTGTGCGGTAGGGTGAAGTTTTAATTCATTTTTGCTTTGGTTGTTTGAGTCTTCGTAATGATGTTTGGGACTGCAATTGATCAGTCTCTTATGGGAAGCTTAACACAAAGAATACGAAACTAAATTAAACCTCAAGTCTGTTTGTGAATGTCAATGGAATACACCTGTAGGTTTCCTACGATCAGTAAATAGGTTTAACCATAAAAATCTCATAATATTGACTTCTAGTATTTAGTAGAACTTCATGCATATGACTTCATCAGTTTCTGTTCGTAAGAGAGGATTGGACAAGTAAAGTCAATGAAAACACCAGACAGTATACATTCAGTGTATTTAGTTAGTCAGAAGTAGATTATAATTTCTTTATGCGTAACAGAAATATAAAAATTAACGAGATCGTTTAAAAGAGTTTGGTTAGTATGTAGATAAACTTTTATTGATTATTCATAGAAATTCCCGATCGAAGCTGCTACCTTGACGCGGTGGTCGGGCTTGCCTATCGTGATGACCCAACCGAGCTATATTGGCTGGAACAGATGTTCCTGCAGGTTCTACCATGCCAGGCAGGTCGATTGGTGAACGGTAAGACTAAAAGCAGCAACTCAAGGTCTGAGGACGAAGTCGTACTGCTGACTGTAGAGGGGTGTGACAGCAGTAAGGTGATTCCCTCAGACAACCAGCATCTGCAGCGATGCTGCCTTCTCACAAATAAGGAAGGGGTTAGAAAAGTTCGACTCTAAAAATGTCACACCTCACCTTACCTCACGGATTTCCGTTTCCGGTGGTAAAGCCCTTTGAAGAACGGAGCTGACACATCAAAAGCTTTCCACGGAAAGGCCGTGCGCGACCGGCCTCAAGCAGTTGTCCCTTGGGCTCTGCGGTCACGCTCCCAGGTCGTCAAGACCAACACTAATCCAATTTCCTTTCCAGGTTCCTCAAGAAATACCCTTCCACGGTGTGGGCAGCCGGGAAGTGATATCAGCCCTCATACCCGTAACAGCACAAGAGACCAAGTTGGTCACATTCAAATCTTTCCTACACCTTCTAATACCTCTCTTATCTCCCCGACTAACCCTCCCCACGTCTCTTTATCACCTCGCACCGCTAGGGCAAACGATTCGAGTACGTGGAACGCCATTCCTGGTCTCCCTGAAACCACGCTCTAAACTACACGTAGGAGCTTTTAACGTACGAACACTTTGCCAAATAGGACAGCAGGCTTCCTTAGCTAAAACTTTAGAATCTCGCACCATCGATGTGTGCTGCGTCTCCGAAACGCGTATACAGGATCCGAGTAGCGTCATTCATTTGACCTCACCATACCAAAATAAAGAACCGACTCGATTTACGCTTCGTGTATCTGGGAGCCCTGATTCTGCTTCCCGTGGCCTCGCTGGCGTAGGTATAGCATTGAGTCCTAGGGGAGAACTAGCTCTCTTAGAGTGGATCCCAGTAGACAGTCGTTTGTACGCTGTCCGACTGAACGGAACAGTAAGAATCCGGAAAGATAGGGACACTCGTCGTTGCCTCTTCGTCGTCTCTACCTATTCTTCCGCTGACTGCAGCTCAGATGATGTAAAAGATGAGTTTTACAGAAAGCTTTCGGACCTTCTCCGAAAAGCTAGGCGCTCGGATGTAGTATTAGTGGCCGGTGACTTTAATGCTCAAGTAGGTAAACTAAGCGATAGGGAAAGACACCTAGGTGGATCTTATGGTGTCGTGGCTCAAAGAACAGATAATGGCGACCGTCTGTTGCAGCTATGCTCAGATAACCGCCTGTTCCTTGCAAATACTAACTTTAAACATAAGGAAAAACATCTTTTAACATGTAGACCACCTAATTCGTCCCAACGTTGGACCCAAATAGATCACATCGCTATCAGCCACCGATGGAGGGGCTCGATAGAAGACTGTCGCTGATTCTGGAGCACATGACTAGATTCAGATCATGCTCTAGTGCGAGCGCGTATTTGCTTGCGTCTTACTGGACGTAGGAAAGACGCTGCAAGTAAACCTCTTAGGGCCCTACTTAATGATAGTCAAGCTAAGAGTATATTTCAGGAACAACTAGGAAAACAGTTAGGCAGCCATGCATGTGATGCCCACCCCGATGCAGCATGGAATGATATCCGAAAAGCTGTGGAAACATCAGTGATATCTGCTAGTAAGGTGAACCAGAAGGTTAGGGAGCAACACTGGATCTCAGCAGCATCTATCGCACTGATAGATACTCGGAAACTCATTCCACCTGGCTCTGAACATAATGAAGAGCGGAGTCAGCTTAAGCGCAAGCTGACCAGAAGCCTACGCAATGATCGCGAACAGTGGTGGGTGGCGAAAGCAAGAGAGATGGAAAAGGCAGCGGCAATAGGTAATAGCAGACAATTGTTTAGACTCGTTCAGGAAACCGGTATTAGGTAACCGACTGTTAGCGAAACAATCTCAGAGAAAGATGGACATATTATACATTCTCAATCCAGGAGATTGGATCGATGGGCAGAACACTTAAGGGATCAGTTCAACTGGCCTTCAGCCACACTTCGGTTTCCCACGATCTCTAGTCAACCTGAATGGCAAGTTAATGTAGGTCCTCCGACTCTTTACGAAGTTGAAAAAAGCCATAGGAAATCGGAAACGAGGGAGAGCATCAGGCCCTGACAGGTTTACTCCTGAGATTTTTAAGGATGGTGGTTCAGTATTAGCAGTGAGATTAACTGAGGTCTTAGGTAGAATTTGGGAATTGGACGTAATCCCATCTGACTGGTTTCAGTCACTGATTGTGCCAGTTTATTAGAAAGGACAAAAGTCCTCTTGTGACAATCACAGAGGAATCAGTTTGACTAATATAATGTCTAAAATATTAGCTTCAATAATACTTTGACGCCTAATCAAAGCTCGTGAAGAGCAGACTAGAGAAAATCAGGCTGGTTTTCGACCTGGACGTGGTTGTATAGATCAGATATTCACACTACGTCAGGTTCTAGAACACAGACACACATTCAGACGCCCCACAATCGTAGTATTTCTCGACCTTAAGGCGGCATTCGACTCTGTTGATCGTGAGGTTCTATGGCAGTGTTTGTCACTGAAAGGAGTACCAAAGAAGTACATTAACCTTGTAAAGGCTCTCTATTTTCACACAACTGGTCGAGTGAGAGCTCATGGCGAACTGTCATCAGAATTGATCACCTCAAGTGGTGTTCGTCAGGGCTGTCCACTCTCCCCATTCTTGTTCAACTTTGTCGTGGACGTACTTCTAGAGATAACACTTTCCTCATCTAGATTTCCAGGGGTTGAACTTCTACCGGGAGGTTCACTTGTTGACTTAGAATATGCAGATGACATAGTTTTATTTGGTGAAGACGCTGACAAAATGCAGAGTCTTCTGACCACTCTAAGCAACAATGCATGCATGTTCGAGATCCGATTCTCCCCCTCGAAATGCAAAATGTTGCTTCAGGATTGGGTTACATCGACACCCGAACTAGTGATAGGGAGTGAAGTAGTTGAGTGTGTCGACCGCTTCACTTATCTTGGAAGTCTCATCAGCCCTTGTGGTCTGGTGTGTGACGAAATCTCAGCACGGATACAGAAGGCTCGACTAGCTTTTGCCAACTTGCGTCATTTATGGCGTAGGCGAGATATCCGTCTATCAACCAAATGACGTGTTTACTGCACAGCAGTTCGTTCCGTCCTACTTTATGGCAGTCAAACATGGCCGGTAAGAGTAGAGGATATCCGTAGGCTACTAGTATTTGATCATAGGTGTCTTCGAAACATTGCTCGTATATCATGGGACAATCGAGTAAGTAACACAGTTGTTAGGAAACGGGTACTGGGTAAGGATGGCAAATCAATTGATGAAGTAGTGAAACTTCATCAGTTGAGATGGCTGGGACACGTGTTACGTATGCCCAACGACCGACTGCCTCGACGTGCTATGTTCAGTGGTATAGGAGTAGGTTGGAAGAAAGCTAGGGGCGGCCAAACCAAAACATGGCACAAGTCCATGAAGTCACTGACAAGTGAACTGAGTCATGTTGGTAGGTGTAGACTACCTGGTTGGGGACCGCGAGATGATAGCAACCGTTGGTTAGAGACCCTGAATGACATGGCTCAAAATCGTTTGCAATGGCGCAGGTGCATCCACTCTTTGTGCCCTCCCAAATTTTGATCTCCTTATTCCTCCTTGTCTCTTGTTTTCTCTTCCCAAATTTATTTCACTGTATTATACTCTTTAAATAACATCTCCAAACACTAATTTTCCCGATTACTGCTTATACTCTTATTACCTCTACCACTACGGGATTTGAGTCAAACACTACATCTGTGTGCTAATGTGGTGTGGCAACTCGAACTGATGTACGTACGTACGAAGTTCTACGTTGTTACTGACTGACTGACTGATTCATAGAAATTTGAAACGGCTGACTTGTATGAAACAACAACTTTAAAGTATATTTCACTAAACAAGTGTCAAAGTTTTCATGCACTGTGATGTTTTAGTCGTAGACAGCTGGGAATGCAGCCCCATAAAGCTGAGTTTGATTCCAAAAAATATTAAGGCTGGTGAAAATTCACAAATCAGAATGAATCTATAGTCTTATCCATCCTCGAGTTAGATAAAAAAAATATGATACATTTAAAATTATCGTCCCATAATGTGTCATACAATAAAAAGTAACTTACAACATCATAGCACATTGCTTCCGATGAGTTCGATTTTCCAAAACATTGTTGTAAATGAAAGATAGCATATTGATTGGTTACTGTTTTGTTAAAATCAATTATTCCAGTAGTACCATTTCGTTTAGGAAGCTGAGATAAAAAATTTTCGGAATACAGTGTATCAGGATTTTATTTAACTCATTCTAACTGAAGCACATTCTCGTTGTATTAAAAAAATTCTAGATTGAATACTAGTTTTAGAACACACTTTTATAACCTCAATAATTAAATAGACTTATTTATAGCTCAATCATTTGCTTAGGGTGAGCTATAAAAATATTTCAACCTTATTTATGGATCATATTGTTACAGCGGAGAAATAGCATATTCTATATCAGAACAAGATATATTACATGGTATATATATATATATAAAACATAATTTTATGATATAATCAAAACACGGTGCTTACCCTGGTTATGGCTTCTAAATAACGATAAAACCTCATTGTGGAATCGATAGTGGGCACCGATGAATCACAAATTTTTCTTGATGAGTTTGTTGATTTTATGCTTTCTGGCCATTGATTATCGACTAGTAAGGAATTCAGTGCCAATAAACCAGATTTAACGGTCTCATATGCACTCAATGCAACAAACTGTCAGTTTTAATTTAACAAGAAAAAGAAGGGTTGGAAAATCACTTTACAACTCATGAATATTGGTGTGTAGATTAAGTATCCCTTATATGGTAGTAATGATTAGAACGTAATTGTCCATGGGAATCGCATCATCATTGTAAGGACAATGGAATTCATCTAAGTGGTTTACTTTCTGTCAGTAAAACCTTGGGCGACATAGTTTATAAAAAGACTTCGGATTTCAGAGTCATTTCAAAATATCTCTGCATAACGCTATATATATACGATTGTACAGCTTGATAATATGATTTGTTTATTCAGCTAAAAATTTCCTCTAGTTTTAATCTATTATCACACCCAGTCTCTCGGAACCTACTTTTTCAAGGATGATGACAGTTTTTCAAACAGGCTACCGATATATGTGCTTATCAGACATTATTTCTTCAAATTAATTTAACATTACATATGGTTTAAAATTATTTTCGTTCCTTCTCACCAACAGTAAAATGTGCATGGTGTGGATAAAATTAGTAATTGAATAAAAAAAATAATACAATAGAGTGCCAAAATACTCTTATAGCATGATATCGAAATATTAAAATAATTATTTTGAATAAGGCCAAATCATCAACCTAATCGTGATCACGCAGTAATTCGTCGTAATAATTTCAATTTTTTCAGATTATGCTATTCGAGATAATAAGTAGTCTGATCTTATAAGCCTTTAACTGACTTGTTTAAAAGATTCATTATTCCAAATTATTCCGTAATAGTTTTGTATCATTTCCAATTCGTTTTTATCTGCACCGGATGTGCCGATCTTCAGGCAATAAAGTTTATTTAAATTGCTGTATGTTAAACAGTTTCGTTTTCCAGTTACGTCCGATCCCATACATAAGAAATTACAATTAACATGCTCTTCATATATTATCCAATTTTGTACATCGGTTTGCTGGAATTTAGCTACAGTTGTAAGTATATTCCACACTGTTTGCGAATCAACTAATAATAGCCATAATTTATTCATAACCACGTTTTTTATTTCTTCTAGGGACTGTGCTAATTGTGATTCATTCAGTTGTGACGGCAAAGTAAGATAGAATCGTCTCACAGACGGATAGTCACGATAGTCTGAAATTGTGATTTGAGAACCTGGATTTAGAAAAAGCATACAAAAGATAAATACAGCTTAAAAATCACAGAATTTCTTATCAACTTAGTTTTGAAATCATCAAAATGATTAATTTTATTGACAGAACAAATGTTTATAAAACGACCATTGCTCCTAGGGAATTGTTATCTTTAAAAGGAATAAAACGAATCTTGAAATATCATACTATGCTTAAAGCTAAATTAAAATATTTGAAATGTCGTTTGGAATTTGTGGAAAAAACAGCAGATTTTTATAGAGCTTCACAGTTTATTTTACATATAATATTGGATAATTAATTTAAAAAGTAGAGCTAAACAAATGATCAAGCAACCATTGTAAGTTTAATGTATTTCTATTGCATTAAAACAACTCTTTCCATTATTCTAGTCCATAAACCTAAGGGGCAAAGTAATGAAGTTGATGTATCAACGCATCACCTTACACAAAAGTATTTCAGTCTATTGGTGTTTTTTCCAGAGGATTATTAGGTCATAGTGCAGTGAATGAGAACACAAGTGGCGGACACCTGATTATATATCAATACAAAATTACTGAGTATCTTGGTAAAATATAAGAACCATACATAAAATATTTCATTTGAAAATATCCCATCAGTTGTCTCAAACTTCATCATTCCTTCATTGCCACAGCAACAACTCTCTCCTCCGTTCTCTTCAATTCGACCTAGGCATTCCTCTTCCAACTGGTGTTATATACTACTTATATCGACATAAGTATTATACACCACGCTAGTAGCGAATAAATGTTTTCTACTCAGGTGACTAGGATATCAGTCACTGTAAAAAAGATTTACATAGCACTTTACAATATATTTCCTCTAGATGACCGAAAATAGAACCTGAAATTTAAATTTATGATATCTCGTCCAGAATAAATTGAGCAAAAACAATTGACTTATTAACATATCATAGAGATCATGGTTGTACTTGATACTTATGAGTAATGATTAGGGTATTTTGGAGTTATATGGACAGAAATATATAATATTACTTAGTTGTTATTACTTCATCTATAACAATGGGCAAACATCAACAGATGTCTATTAAATCATTTTGAAATTCTCATTAGTTTTATTTCATTGCTGTCCGATAAAAATTCAGCTCTGTATGCACAAATTTTATCATAAGGAAGTACTGGATTTAGAATTGAATTTGTATTAATAAGTACATATTGAATTAGGTGACAAATTATTGGTGATATAAGGAGTCGTTCGTATTTGTTAGATAAGCCGGTTGTAATCTGCTGCTATTCTATCGCTTTTTAGAGTAGTATACAAAACAGTTTATGGAATACTGTATATCAATTTTATTACATTTATTTATTACAGTGTTGAAGTGTGCGATTAAATCGTTGCTGTGAGACTACTATAATATGGATGTGCAATTAAAGGATTTATGGTTTATGTTAATAATGTTAATTTTAGGCACATGATAATCTGCACTGTTGACTTGGTTAATGAAGCCTCATTTAGTTGTAAACAAAAACAATTTTATAATAGGTGATATTATTTTAAGCCCAGAAAATCATTTCAACCATACCATGTACTTACTAGTTCTTGGAAGAAACTCAATTCTAATGAAGGATTCAGAGAAACAAAAGAACATTTGATTACTTATTCATAGGCTCAACTTTCTAATTCTTATGGTCAATGACCACTACAGTGAGTTTTATTGAACATCATTATTAATTCGGTTGACTGATACAAATATATATTAAGTACCAGCTGATAACTCGAGTTGATTCACTATTCATCATTTCTGTTTACACTAATTAGATTCAAATTATAGGCATCCAATGAAATGAGACGATTTTTTTAGAAACAAATGTAAGTAAATAGTAACTAGAAACTCTGTTCGGTATTTACTCAATTAAGAAATTTCCTTCTAGCTCTGATTAACTACAAATAACTTGTGCACAATTTATCTAGCAGTAAAATAATCAAAAGACTGGAAAATATTCACACAGTTAATGAACAGTAACATATCATTTTACGTACCACTCTCATCGCTTCCTCTAATTATAGTCTCTGTTCGAAGAGAACCAGCGATTGTATTTCCAAAAACAGATAATGCAGATGCCACTGCTTCAGGAGGGAAGTTTACTGAAGGTATATTCAATTCTGTGATGAGATTTGATTTATTAAGGAGAGTTTGATTAATGTATAACGGCGGGCAGTCATAATAATTAAGCGTTATAATTCCGGAATCAATTTGTTGAGCTAATTTCTGAATGCCACAACTAGCTTGCGATGGTGGTGTAAGATCGATTAAAAGATCTGGATGTTCTGTCGTATCATTTTGAATATTTAAGCAAACTGAAAGAAAGAATGACCAAGTCGTTTGCTATAAAATGCTTTATTTTTCAGCTGCTTGTAAGTAGTACAAAAAAAATTGCAAATGTTTTAAGCTTTTGTATGAAAGCTGTGAAATGTTTGTGTAATAACATAAAAACATTCCATACATATAATTTCGAATAAGTCTAAATTACTAGTAGTGAATACTTTCAGATGGGTTAGATCTACATGTTTAGAATAGGGAAATTATAAATTATCCTTAGTTTTTACTTATCTCTAGTCTGTTGAGCAACTATTATTAATATTGGCTCTCTACTGTGTTAGTCACCCAATTGCACTTACGTGATTTATGTCTGACGTAAATATAATAAACTAATCTATTTTATTACTTAACGAAGTAAGAAGTTTAGCACTATTCACATTAAATAACCATAAGGTTTCAATCACAACGGAAATATTAACTCTGAATGTTCGTTACGTTAATATGAATTTGAGTTGATCATCCTAGATGGTATCACTTCACGTTTTTGAGCCATTAATTCTTGAATTTTGATAAATTAATTTTACTGTTTGTAGAATTGGCTTTCAATTGAACCAGATTCGCAAACAAATGTTGATTTTAAGTTTGGTTTAGAAAACGCCAACATTTTTTGACATTGGTAGACTCAACTGACAAGTTCGAAATCGCAAAATGTTAGGATCAAATATAACCACCTAAGGTGATTGGTGCATCCTTCTTATAGAGATTGGACATAATAATGGAGACTTATTTGAATGAGAAAACAACAACAATCATAGAAACTAAACATAGCCACTCACCATTTTTGATAGAATTACTCCATGAACGTGGATCTCTGTGGTTAATTTTATGAAAATTTACAGTTACATAGTTATCTGACATATTGTCTTGCAACAAATTATGTCTGTCAATTGCTAATTCTGCCGCTAGATTCAAATACGATTGTTCTTCTGGAATAAATATCACTAAAGGCACAAAACAAGTTATTTCATTATTCATTTAGAATAAAATAACTTTTTCACAGGGAAGGTAAGAATGGTAGGAGAACTTGCAAAGTTCATACACCCTGATATAGTAAAATATTAGTTTACATTATATAGTACATTTTAGATAGAATCTAAAATTTACAATGCACACAAATTGATAAAAACTTGACTCATAGCATCTTCGAATAATAATAAATGCTGTTTAATCTAAATAATATTTTATTCTTCCAAGTGAGTGTTCAATATTTCGTCTGACTTATCTGCTTTCACAGAAACTCCCACAAAACGATTTAGTAATAATGAAATCAGTGATAACGTGAAAAGTCGCTGCTAGCTTCTAGTCTAAAGCAATTGTTTTGACAAGTGGTTACGTTTCATTTTGCATGAAGTGATCCAAAACCACGTGAAAATAATCAAAATTTAGGATCCTGGAGTATATACGATGTATATATAACTTCCGTTGACCAACTGCTTTCAGATTTTTCCAAGTTCTTTATGAATTTGACTAACGTTGTTAGTTAGGAAACTTGTTAGAAACTTAATTTTCAAAACAGACATATTGATTTTACATATTTGGAGGCTTCTCTACAAACTGAAAGTCGGTCATGAATCGAGTGAACTGGTTACAGACATGTTGCATTAATTTTGCTTCCTTAAGTAATTGCGTCCCGTCAACGTTCTACCGTTAGCAGAAATAAATAATTTATCTTTCCTTGGGGATCATTCAAGATTGATGTAAGGAGTTATTTCAACGAGTCAGAATGCGAGGAAGCAAGGGCTCTACTGAAACTGAATTTTTAAGTACTAAATTTGATTTTAATTCGAATAGGATGAATATATTTTCAAACCTAGTTTTTCCAGAACTATTTCTTTGTGGCATCTTTTTAAACAATCAAAAACTGATTTTATGTCAGATTTTAACATAAATATTCAACTAAGTAGTTGGTTAACATGACTATATGGTGTCGTTGAGGCCTAAGAAACAGGGGTGTGGCTTTAAGTACTGTATAAATTCATTAGTTTGATTCTCTGGGATTGTATGCTTTGAATAGACACTAAACCTTAAACACACAATCGGTTTTCACTCGGCTGTATAAATTTCTGTTAATCTGAAAGCACCAAATAACAGATTTACTCAAATAGTGCATTGAAAGGTTAAACAGTTTTCTTTGCTTTCACCATATGAACATCGAATACTGCGTATTATAGCATCTAAATTTGTTTACTGAAGTTGAAAACACGTCATTTTTCATACTTGTTCTTAGAATGTTTGACTGATGTTTACGTAAATTAGTTTGCCTTTAAATAAAATATAATGATATGTTATTACAACGGGTTGTGAAGCATAATTATTGATAATTAGAATTGAATAGTGATCGTTATTTATCGAGTTATTTAACAAAACGTAGCTGCTTACTGAAGTTTGTGCTCAAAATAGTCAACAAACACTGAATAAGTAATTAGCTATATTCCGTTTTTACTTAAATAAAAGCTAGAAATGATTTGTTCTGTTTTTCTTTAAGTTAACTGGTTGAAGAATGTTGATGAGAATCTGCCATTGACTTGGTTTTTCAAGAGAAATATGATCACAAAATCTAGACTTCTGGATTAAATTTTTAACATTACAACATGATATTTTTATCAGCTCTTGTTCATATGAAATTAAAATGTGGGTTGTTAAATCATAAGGACGAAATTGTTTAGGTTTCAAAGACTTACCCAAATGGACAGTACGACAATATCGAGAATAAATTAGAAATAAATTTAATAGAATGAAACCTTTCATTATTGTATTCATGTTGTTTAGCATCTTGTTCAGAAGCAAAAGATTTTTGCTCAGATAAACTCGGATATAAAAAAAATAATGTTGATGGTTTGGAGAATATTTAAAATATTAACCAACCAATTACAATGAAGTAACTTTCAAAATTCTGTCTTCTTATTGGTTCATCAAAATTAAACAACATCAATACTACGAGGGGAAAACAGAACAGAATAAAAAGTTCAACTCCATCCGATTAGAATACAGATTAAGCGTAGTATTGTTCACGTAGTAATCCTGTTTAAAATAAATAGTATCCTTTAGAAATAACACAGTTCCATGATATGCACATCAACAAAGTGTCTTGGATAGATAGGAGTGAATATCAGAAGAGGGAATGTCAGTTAAGTCAAGGACAAAATGCAATAAGTATATTAACCGACTAAATGTAATAAATTAAGAGTGAGGATCCAAATAGCGATTTATGAATCTGTTTCCATAATTATTGACAAGTAGTTTGATGCGTGTTTCTACCTGCTTGAACTTTTTATTCCACGCTGTTATTGGGTCTCAGAAACAAATCATTCTATTTTTAATGCATTTGAACTCTATTGCTTTTTAGAGCATAGGAGAATTCGTGTATGCTAGGATCAGCAGAACTAGCGAATTGATTAAAGTCGCTAAACCACCTCACTACTACATTATTCAATTTAAGATCTTCCACAATGTAAATATCGATATTTTACAGTACAATTTGGATAATCAATTCGCTATAGCCTTGAGACTTTGTAATACATTTAGACATACACGTTAATATGCTGATATTGGCTAAACGTTTATAATCAGTCGTGATAGTTGAGGGATTTACTTTGTATATAGTTTGCTAAGTTCGTTGAAGATGTACATACAACATCTATATACTTTCGTCATTCATTAGAATATAAACCAAGACAATAGTAGTATTGAATTTCACAGTATTATCTTTGTAAACAGAAGCGATGAGGTCTTGGCTGTTCCATTCGTGACTCTGAGTTGTAGGAAACATCAAAATTCATTTTTCACCTAGTCCAATATCATACAGAAGGAAATTTTCGACTCTCATAGCCTACTTGTTTTCAGGTGATAGTGACTGTATTCGATCAATTCGGACTTAGAAGGAATACTTGATGACAGCTGGAAAATGAGCTGAAGTTGCAATCGTTAGACTGTCAGCTGTCTTAGCTATGATTTGATTATTTTTATTATAGCGATTACTGTTTTATTTCTAAGTTAGCTTTATTTGGAACATGATTGGATTTATTTGGTTGATCTATATTGACATCATATTTTGCACAAGAGCAAGATCTACACTTCGCCGTCCGATAATCCATAAATCACAACTTTCTGTTGTTTATCTGTGTCCTTTTTATGGTGTGGTCATTCAGTAAACCAACGCTTTTGTTACTCTTTATGTATACTGGTTCCATTTCGACGAGACGTAGAACATATAAACTGGAATGTAATTCATAACCTTTGGGCATATTTTGTTTCCATTTGAACTCTGCTCACATAATATGTTGTGAACCGAACAAATAATAACCTATTCTATGTGAGTTCATGCTTTTTCAACAACTAATGAATTGTGATTGACTTTAGCATCTTTACATTGTTTGTCATTTCCTGAAGTTTTAGATGACGAGTTATGTCATTTTAAAGCGAACTACTAGCTATTTCCCATTCATCCTGTTGGTCCTTATTGAAGTAAACCATGATTAGTTTTATGTGATATTGCCACTAATTGCGTCACGATGCATTGTGATTTTGTCAAGTAATAGTCGCTCATCCATATTAATCTATTCTCATTGTTCTTTTAATGATCGAACTCGCTTCACAAAAAGTGGGCTGTCTCATCATTAAAATCTAATCACTCATTTAGATAATCAAAATAGTTACCGTCATATTAAAATTGCAGATATATAAGGAATGATACACTTTTAAATAACTCTTCATAGGGCTTTACAAAGGTGCATCTGAACTACTGTTCCAAATACATAACTTTGTTTAAGACACCTTTTAAAAATTACAGTATATGAATTAAGTATTGTTAAGGAAGTAAAATTGGTCAAAAAGAAAACTAGTTTAAACGGGTCATACAAGTAGAGTTTAGACCAACATACATATAATTACAGAAATGTATTCATTTCCAATTGTTTGTGTAGGATGAAAAGTGATTTTCTCTTTTCAAATAGGACAGTATGACATTTTGTACGATTTTTTTTTATGAGAACAAAAGATCCATTAATTAATGTAGAATAGAATTTAAGTGCATTTTCACCCTTTTCGCTTGTGGATTGATTAACAATACTAACGATGTTCATGTAATTACTTAAATAAACTTTATATTGTGATAAATGTTTCTTTATTTATTAAGAAATGAGTGAAATCAAACAAATATAAAAGAATGACTTGTTCTCATACGAAGTCACCATAACAACAAATTGCCCGGATGGAAAAGTGCTTGATTTATGAAGATGTACTTTGATGACCTGAGCTTGTTTTCAAGGAAATTGAACATACTTCTAGTTGCTTATTACGGTAACTCTTTGTATTGGTTATAAATTAAATTTGATCAAGAACTGTTATCAGCTTCGTGACCATTGAGAACCAGCTAGTACTGAATAAATATCCTGTGCTGTCTTTTATCTCTTTGGAGATGACCCCTCTTAACCTAAGAGAGATCAAACCAACTTCTTCGTAACAATGCTATTCAGTTAGTTTCTATTCAAAATTGAATTACTTTGTGATACAGAGATATCTTTCTTCAATTTTAAAAGAGGATAACTTTCTAATTTATCCGACACTATTCTTGTCATGAAAAGCTGTATATATGTTGTGCGCTGACAGTCTAAATACTTCAGAATAGTACCTTCCTTCAAGTATGATGAAGACAGAGGAAGTAGTGAAACTTCACCAGTTGAGATGGCTGGGACACGTGTTACGTGTGTCCACCCACCGACTGCCTCGACGTGCGATATTTTCTGGTGTAGGAGTAAGTTAGAAGAAAGCCAGGGGTGGCCAGATCAAAACGTGGCACAAATCCATGAAGTCACTGACAAGTGGACTGAGCCATGTTGACAGGTGTAGACTACCTGGTTGGGGACCGCGAGATGATACCAACCAATAGTTAGAGACCCTGAATGACATGACTCAAAATTGTTTGCGATGGCACAGGTGCATTCACTCTTTGTGTTCTCCCAATTTCTAATCTTCTGAATTCTTCATATCCTTTATTTTCTTCCCAAATTTGTTTCACTGGATTATACTCCTTGAATAACATCTTCAAACCCTAATGTTTCCGATTACTGCTTATACTCGTACTACCTTTACCACTACGGGATTGAATCGATAACTGCATCTCTGTGCTAATGTGGTATGGCAACTCAAACTGATGTACGTACGTACGAAGTTCTACGTTGTTAATGACTGACTGACTGAGTTTACAATCGACTGTCGATCAATTAGTCGAGTTTTAATCTAGTTCTCGTATTTTTAGATTAGTGTTCAATGGTTCTGTTGGCTCTACAACTATGATCATGATTGAGCGGTAGGGACATTAGTGTATTTTTCATATGATTTGAATTCATAATTTTTATCCTATGCTACAGATTTAATTTAAACAAGGGTGGGATCGGTTGTTGGAAATACTAGTAGTTAGCAAAATGAAGCAATCATTCTGTGATGCAAGCATATATTGCAGGCAATTGTTTTTAAGAAATTTATGTCTACAATCCCAGTTTAGCTGATAGTTACAGTGTTATATTTAAATGACTGGTTAAACTGGACAAAACTTGATAAGAGTTCAGTGTTAATAACTTTATTGAAAAGTCAGAGGTTGTAATTGAATGGAAAAAACAAAAGCTCATTTCATGGAAAAGTAGTTTCGACAAATTTAATTTGTTAGTCAACTAGATTATCATTTAGCAAGCTGACAACTAAACATAAGAATAATAACTGTGAAAATACGAATTGTGACCGCTAGGTTGAATGATGGATATGAACTTCTTTCGGAATGTTATTTAGTTTACAATAAACTTCTTAATTTATAATTCCCTCTGATAATGAGAATCATTAAGATGAGTAAATCAGGAGAATTTATGTCACACATAACGTGCTGGAGAGAAATAAACCTATGTAGGGAAAATGTCTAGTGTATAAGTTGTACCAATGTTAAGCTTAGTGTATCAACTTTATTAGGCAAAAATCACCTTCCACATAAGATACGGTCAATAAAATCCAGCTGTCTTTGTAAAAACTTTCGTTAAGAGAGGTGTGGAACAACTTTTTTCAAGTGCACTGTTCAATAAATAGGTAGAAACAAACAGAAAGCATATTTCCGAATCATTCTCTGATAGTACAACTGTTGTCGAAGTAAATTCTGGTGTTTAATTATATAAGATAAACAAAGCAATCTTCTTGAGATGATTTTAATTCTTCATCTAAAAAAAACAGACGTGTTTGTAAGAGGGAATAAGGCTTAATTATACAGCAGTACTATGTATCTACTCATACATTAACGTTAACATTTTTTGTTTCATGATCACTTCTAATATCTACGTGATTTCTGGCATTTGACTATGTCAACATACAGTTCATTTAAACTGATTTTAAATCAATGGAAAATGGATCATTTTAACAATCCCATTGTAGGTATAGAGACTGATAAACTGTATTTCTAAACATCAACAACGGGAAAATACGAACACTTAACAAAATTCATATCTTTTGAGCGGGATATTGGCTTATTGAACTCAGTGGCTAATGTGTAGAGGTTTGAAGCAAAAAGTACTAAATTCGCGTCCAAATGTCAAAACCGATACTGGAATACAACTAATGAGTCCTAAACAGGAACCTTGGATTCCATTGCTAGGTACTATCCTAACTTAATAAAACTGAGAGTTGAATTGTCATCATTTCAATATATATCTTTAAAATAATTTTGAGTTTGTTCCTCAAGTATCTCTTTACAAGCGAAAAAATATATATTTCTATAAAAAACT